AAGCTGGATTCTATGAAGAACTCGGCATCAGGATTGGAGGAAGGCTTATTAACAACCTGCAATATGCAGATGACACAACCTTGCTCGGTAAAGGAGGTCTTGAAGCACCCGCTGATGAAGATAACGGATTGCAGCCTTCCAAACGGATCGCAACTCAATGTAAAGAAAACAAAAATCCTGGCAACTTTACCAACAGGTTACATCATGATAAATGGAGAAAAGTTTGAAGTGGTCAAGGATTTCATCTTGCTTGGATCCCCAATAAATCCTCAAGAGATCAAATAATGTCTTGATTGGGTGAACCTACTACTCAAAGTATTGACGAGCAAGAATGTCACTTGGAGGACTGATGCGAGCCTGACCTAAACCTTGATATTTTCAATGGCTTCGTATGAAGTTGGCGGTGGAACATTGAATAGGGGACACTGGAGAAGAATCGTTGTATTTGAATTAGGGTGCTGCCACATCATGTTAAAATACCATGGACTTCCAAAAGGACCAATAATTCTGTCTTGAAAGAAGTACATCGAGAATGCTTCTTGGAAGCGAGAATGGTGAGAATTCATCTCAAGAGTTTTGGACCTGTTATCAGGGGAGACTAGTCCCTGGAAAAGGAGGTCATGGTTGGTAAAGTAGAAGCAGTGAAAAAGAGGAAACTCTTAAGGAAATGGACGATTGACTCAATGGCTGTGACAATGGGCTCAAACAAAACAACAATGTGAGGATGGTAAGGGGCGGAGCGGTTCATTCTTTTGTACATAGGGTTGCTATGAACCTTAAAGGGACTGGGCTGCCCCTAACAACAGCCTATTGGAATTGAAGCTCTCAGGGTGGGAATTTCTGTTGGTTTGGCTCACTGCTGTAATCCTAGGACCAAGAAAGAAACATGGTATATGGTACGTGCTTGCTTAGGGAGTTATACGCTGGGTTGCAATTCCCAAAGTCTGCTACTTTGCAGGAGAAAGATGAGTCACTCTATGCCCATAAAGAGTCACAGTGTCAGGAATCCACAGGGACAGTTCTACTCTGTCCTACAGGGTGACTGTTAGGCACAATTGACTCAATGGCAGTGAGTTTTGAGTCTAAAACCAAACCCAAACTCGCTGTCATTGAGTTGATTACAATTCATAGAAGTGCCCCGTGGGTTTCTGAGCATTTAAGTCTTTATAGGAGTAGAAAGCCTTGCCTTTCTCCCACAGAGCAGTTGGTGGTTTTGAACTGCAGATGTTTCAGTTAGAAGCCCAATGTGTAACCACTAGGCAACCAGGGTTCCTTAGTCTTGCTTGCTTGGTATTTAATTAATTTAACAATCAATCAAATCTACCTCATAATAGCTGGCTTAAAGTCACATAGAAAGTAGGGTTTTGTCTATAGGCAGTTTGATTGTAAAGGCTGAATTCTTGTCCTCTTGGATAAGCAGATTAAACAAACAAACAAACAAATAAAACCTCACTGCCACTGAGTTGATTCTGACTCATAGTGTCCTGTAGGTCAGGGTGTAACTGCCTTTATGAGTTTCTGAGACTGCAACTTTTTTTTTTAATTGGGGGCTCATACAACTCTTATCACAATCCATCCATCCATCCATTGTGTCAAGCACATTTGTACATTTGTTGCCATCATCATTCTCAAAATATTTTCTTTCTACTTCAGCCCTTGGCATCGGCTTCTCATTTTTCCCCTCCCTCCACCCCCTCCCTCATGAACCCTTGATAATTTATAAAGTATTATTATTTTTCATGTCTTACACTGACCAATGTCTCCCTTCACCCACTTTTTCTGTTGTCCACCCCTGGGAGGGGGCCATAGGTAGATCTTTGTGATAGGAATAGGAGGCCTCACCTTGACCTTGGAACTGCAGTTCTGTGCTTAGCAGACCAGCGGGTGACGTAAGCCACCCACCTTTACTAGCCATAAAACACAGCTTTCTGGATCTGATTACAACTTGCATGGATGCGGGGGAGGGGGTGGGGGCGGCAATTAACTCAGTTACTAGTAAATGTCCAACTTGGCCCCTAGTGGGCCTCAGCACAGGGTAGTTTTGCTATCCTTTCCTTTGTTTAAGTTTAATATAACTTGGCTCCACCCTTTGTGTTCAATATTTTAGTGAACTAGTTTTGCTGAATTCTGATGCCTCATTTTTCTTTTAACCCAAGATGTTCTTTGTTTTTTGGCCTTTCTTTCACGAGGAAGGCAAAACCACATTTTCTCTGTCACGTGTAGTGTTTTTCTCTTCTGCTTTGTGTTCTAGTTGCTGATTCTTATGTTTCCTCCTCTTTTCTATGTATCTGTGTAGATGGTTCTGGGTTTTTTTTTTTAAGTTTGTGCTGTTATCCAATAGACTGGAAGACAGACTTTCTATTTTAAAAGCTCTGCTTGTTGAATCCCGCTATCAAAAATAAGATGGCAGTTATTGACTTCTTCCTGTCGAAAATGAGAAAATTAGCAGAGTTGCGCTGCTCCCACCAACCCTCCCTTTCCAATCTTGTTTTGGCACAAGAGTAAATTACAGACCCCAACCACAACGCTTCATTTTTCACTTTCTATATTTTCTCTTTAGGTAATTATTTTTTACATTAACCTTCTGTTTGTAATAGATTTTGAGCCATTATTTAGCACTAACGCTGCAGTTAATTAGTTTCCACCCGCACGGTGGGTCTCTTTACTCCATTTTTCTCTATCTTTGATTTCTTTATTTTGACTTATTGCTCAGTCAATAGCTCTTTGGATGATTTATTAGAAGCAGGGTGTGGGGCAGCCCCTCGCTGCTGAAACTGTCTTTCTGAGACATTTGCCCATGAATACCAACTGGGCTGAGAAGGAATTTGTGGGTCATATGATGGTCTCCTTCCAAATTCCCCCAGTTTACCTGCATTGTCTGCTGCCCTTCAGGCTGTGGAGAAGTTTGAACAGGGCCAGGTGAAGATTTGGTAGACGGAGGATCGCTCCTATGACCCTTCCACTCAGTTCTTTTCAGCAAGACTTGGTGCAACACGTTGTGCAGCTGTGGGTAGCTTTTCTCTTGTCAGG